GCTTACCCCTAATACTAAATTAAAACCCTTAATACTAAAAACTATTTTTTCCGATCTCAAAATCAATTAAATTTCCTTATATAACGCAATTAAAATATTGCCAAAAATGGCAGTTCGAAGCTTACCCCTAATACTAAATTAAAACCCTTAATACTAAAAACTATTTTTTCCGATCTCAAAATCAATTAAATTTCCTTATATAACGCAATTAAAATATTGCCAAAAATGGCAGTTAGAAGCTTACCCCTAATTGCTAGAGTAGCTAGGCAGCTTGGAGTGAGGGATTGGGACTAGGCCCCCCTAATACTAAACACCCCGGGGTGAACTAGTTTTTAGTATTAGGGGGGAGAACCCACAAATGGTAGGTTGATTTTTAAATTGTTTTTTAAAGGTGATCAATTAAAAGTCAAATTGGCCAAACTGAAATTTTCGGAAATTGGAGATGGATGCCTGTTTTTAGTATTAGGGGGACGTTTAGTATTAGGAGGAAGGGATTATTTAGTGAACCTCTAGTTCAGTTTTTTGTGGCAGGCGCAGTATTTGGTGATTCTTAGGTTTCACATGCAGGAGGGAGAGTGCTAGGTGATTTTACAATGGACATGTGGCATCAACCTCGCCGCTTTTTGGGGCCATGTCAAGCTCTTCTAACTCCGGCTCTGGCAGCTCTGGTTCCTCTGAAGAGGATAAACCATGTGTGACCCTGGAGAACTCTGAGACATCCTCCGAAGCTGAAGTCGCCTCAGCGAAAGCTCGGGCACGGGCAGGGATGTTCACATGGCCGTGTCCACGCCATTTTCATGCAGAGTTGTCAGAGCGCCAATCCGCGAGAGTCCTCAAGCCTGCTGATGTTTCTCGAGAAGACTTCTTGGAAACTTTCAAAACTGTGCTACGTCGCAAGGGCTATCTCCACAACCTCGTTAAGGCAGCAGTGGCAGACGAGCCGCACAAGCATTACCAAGCAGATGGGAACGCAAGAGAAAGGCACAAACATTTGATTTTCTTGTTTCGACAACCTTTCGTACATGCTAGTGTCTGCAAGATGTTGGGTGAGCAATTTGGCGCCCACGGGTTTTTTACCTTTCACCGAGCGGGCTGGGTGGCCTACTTGGATTATTTGATGAGCGAGAGTGCAAAGAAGCCGGCCCAGGACTTGGATCGTCAAATGGTTTTTTACCCCGCAGCATACACATGGCAAAGAGCCGAAGCTGAGCTTGGTCAGATGTCTTTGCAGATGTCAGGTCGACGCCAAAATGATGGCGTGCAGCAGCGCAAAGAACCTGAGCCCAAGCGCCGCAAACAGATGACTTTCAGTGAGCTGACGGACTTTGTCGTTGAGCGCGGTATCCGTGCTGTGGGCGCACTTTGGCAGGCTGGATTTGCGGCACTCAAGTGTCTTTATCACGGATTTTGGAGTCTCTGTATCATGCAAGGACTACTTTCTGCAATAAAAGCAGCCTAACCTTGCCATTGCTGTAATCGGCTGACACTTGTTTCATTCTGGCCCAAAGTTTCACAAAATATCGAAGTTTCTATTTTTTGGCACCCCATCCTGCAGCCAGGAAGCCAAAGAGGAGAAAAAGGCCGGCAATCCATTGATTTGGAACCATTTGGGGTCCTTGCGAGATGCCAACGCAGAGTTACAGAAGATCTTGGGTGCGTGGCACCGTCCAGAAACGTTGGGCGCTACAACTCTGGTGTCCACACCCACATTTGCGTTGACCCAATTTGTTTTGCCACCGCCTGTGCAAGAGTGGATGCAAACCGGTTACTCCAAAGTTGCTTTGATTTTGCAAGGCCCGCCCGGAACCGGGAAAACAGAAATGGCCCTCAGCATCCTCTTGAGCTTGTGCCCTGCTGGGGTACATTTCCTGTCAGAATTGGACCAAATCAGGAAGATCACCATCAATGGTGGACAAGGACTACTGGTTGATGAATGCACCTTCCGCAACATTGACATCGACGACGCGAAAGCTTGGACCGACATTGCCCACCCTCGAGACGTTCGAGCTAGGAATCAAGACGGTCACATTCCCAGTGCTGTGCCGAGGATATTCACAACAAATCATCACATAGGTCAATTTTGGCCTCCAGAGTATTTCGATGTGAACCATCAACAAGCACTAGATCGTCGCACGCTCTGGTTGCACATCCCTGACAAAGTCTTCGAGACGAAGCACCAGGTGCCGGGTGATAGGGAGTAAAACATAACGTTACAAAAGCCCATTCAGGGGAGGCCGAGAGGCCAACGATCCAGTGCAGTCATCCAGTATTTAGGGAGGCCGACGATCCAGTGCAGTCATCCAGTATTTAGGGTGTCTCCCTTGAATGGCCTTACCCGATGTTTTGTCGTTGAGTGCTGTTTTTTTTGCCTGGAACGGTTGTGTGCCTCCCTTGAATGGACTTACCCAACGTTTTGTTTTTGAATCGTGGTTTTGCTCTGAATGGTTGCATATTAGAGGTGGTTTCTGCTTCAAACTCCCTTGAACAAATAGCCTGATCCAAGATTTTTTGCCGCATCTTCAGGACGTAGTACCCTATCCTATCCTGTACACTCCACTCCATCATTGATATGCATACTGGAAAAAGTGGTCCATCTGCTTGCATGCGCAGGCTACAGTTGCAGCTCCAGGTTTCAAAGCGGGTTTGGCCTTGGGTGACAGCAAGGTTGCAGAGCCCAACACAACGCTGCTTTCTACTCCGGCTCCAGACATTGATTCAGTTGCTCAGCTTGACGAGGAAGAGCTCAATGACATGATGGAAGCTTCCAAAGACTTCTTCGGGGAATGAACGCTGGGGAATAGCTCTTGGATGAAAAACGCGCTGTGAGGAACTCTGTTTCAGAGGGCCTTTCCCCATTCAGATATTATTGGCAAGGGTCTGGTGTGTGGCTTATCGCAATCCAACAATGTTTGGGCTACAACTGTGATATGTGTTGATTGCTTGGTGGGTTTGCATAGCAGAAATCTGTTTGGACGGTGATTCTGTTGGTGGGGGATTGGTGGGTGTCTTTACACACTCACATGTCATCTGCATTGGCCTTTAAAGCTTGCCACCTTCCAAAAATTTGAGGCTAAGATTGACATACCTTGGTTGGCAGGTTTAGCGTTCATGGCACCAAAACTTTTTGGAACATGGGTGATGCTCCTGCACGGGGATGTCCAAACCACTGAGATTTGCTCCAATTCAGGAGCCGGCGGCCGCTGCCACGCACTGTGGAATTTACAGGGACAAAAAATGAGCCCATTTTTGGAGCTGCGGTCCAGCTTCCCAGCCATGGGCCCCGCTTGTGTGTGTGTAGGGTATATAAGTATGCATTCAGCAATGTGATGTGATACAATAAGAGGTGCATTTGCGCCCAAACTTAAATGGTTTCGCAGATGTGTAAGAACCCGCTAGCCTGCAGAGTAAGTATCCTCAGTCAAAGCCTGGGTTTCCAGCAGGTACCGTGTAATTTCCTTGACTTCAGTACTGCAAGCGGCCCGATGAACAGCCAAGTGGCTATAAAAAGCTTTGTTATGTAGAATACTGAGCAGAAGACATGGTTCTTTGAATTATAAGGTATATATAATATATGACAACAATGCACCTAGGCACATGCCATCAGAACAGCCGAGCTTTAACTTGTTTCATGTCCCTGGCCACCGTCACTCTGGCGCAGAACAAAGCGGCTGAAGTCAAGGCAACTCTGGCGCAGAACCAAGCCAAAATCCGAAGTTGCCAACAGCAAGCCCGCCGACAGGCAAAGTCTTTGCTCCAGGGTGGCCTATCTTGCGCTGCCGTGAGGCGAGTTCTTGCAGTATATGCTGTATCAGAATGGGATTTGGGTTTGGCAGTGCAGGCAGCACAGCGGCTATCCTCTTTGGCTACATCTGATGCAAGATTTCCCACGTCAGAGTCTGTGCGGACACTCTTCACAGAGCATGACCTGGACGATTTGCTGCAGCTATTTGATGATGGCCATGCACTTTGGGTACCTGCGCGGAAGTTTGCTTCTCAGTTCCTTCGCGAACATGATACAAGGTGGTACCCCCTAGTTATGTTGAACTTAAGGGACTTATAAGTAACGTAAATTAAGTTATGTTGAAGTTAACATAACTTAAGTTATGGGTTTTATAAGTAAGTTATATCTTCATTTTAACTTCAGTAAGTTTTTAGTTTCGGGAATTTTGTTTTTCAGGGTAAATTCGATTAAAACCTGTTATTTTTGGTTCTCAGCAACAAGTTGGTGTATAAGGCGGTCTTTTTTATTCTCTCTATGGCCGAGTGCGCAGATGCTCTTATTGAGCATTGAGGACGCATCCCCGCGTGGTTGCAACCAATGTTTGGCACATTGAATTGTGTCTTGCCGGCCACACAGGCTTTGTTCACGGCAAGCAATGCACATATGAATTAGATTTCTCTTTGCGCCACCAACTGCACGTTTTCGGATTCTCAAGAGCGTTCCATTTCTCTACAATTTTGTTTGTGGTGATGCGGAAGGTTTTGAGTGCAGCCGTGCCGCTGATGTATTCATACTGGCTGAGACACACATAGAGCTCAGCACCTTTTTCAAGAAAGAAGTGGCAAACCCCTGCTTTTTCGCAAGTGGCTCCCCACATAATGAAATCTCCTTCTTGCAATTCTAGCATGCCTATGCGGCACTTGGGAGCGAGCGCCACTCCAGTGAGACCGGTTTCCGTTTGGACTTCGTCTTCAGGGAAAGTTTTTTCCAAGGAGTAACCGGCAGCATTCATCGGCTTTTCATTCCAAAGCTCCATGTGGCGGAGCGCAAGACGCGGCAAAAGCCGCGTGGAAAAATCGCTGCCGCCTATGTTTTCGGTGAGCCATTGTTGAAAGTTGGCTGCAAATATCCCTTTGTAGTCTCTGTGTTTACTTTCTGTTCCCCACATGGTGGGCACGAGGTTGAGAGCTTTGTACTGAAATGGCAAATGTAACCGATGGTGGTGTTTCGGACGGACGAATTCACCCCATCGTTGCACGAATGCCTTTTGGTGCTCTGCCTACAATGCATGCAGCTGATCAAAGGCCTTGGTTTCCTTTATTGTGCTGATGCATTCCACGCAGGCGCAGAGTTTCAAGAAACAAGCCGCAGCTGTTTCGAGCTCTGGCGCCCGCAGCCATAGACTTTCACACACCCAACGCAGCAAGGGAAGCAGCGCCATTGTTTGTTTCGCATTTCCCTTGTATATTGCAGCGGTGAAATAGGCCGCTGTAAATAATCTTTTTGTATAGAACTGGGTTTCGCCACGGCGGAGATGCTGACCCGGCCGTTGCCAGCCAGCAGCAAGGACACACTGCAATATGTCTGAACTAGATTTTGCGGTTACGCTCTGCACCAGGTCGACGAGCAATGCAATTTCGACGCAGGCAATGCCGCAGGAAAAGTAGCAATGCATGCTGTCGTTCACATAGCTCTCCAATGGCAACGTTTGCATACACATGGGAGACGTCCACATGTTGTCTCTTTCGATTCTGTAGCCGAGTACCCGCTCCTGTAGCTCATGCTCGCCTTTTGTCTTCGGTAGTGAGAGAGCTTTGCCAATGTATTGCCGCAGCGCGTCCGTCGAATGTTGATGGAACATGCCAAAGTCACATTCTGCGATGGTGCGGAAATGCGGATCTCTTTGCGCCGTGGCTTCCGCGTTCTTTGCTATGCAGTTCACGCAAAAGGCACACGGCTTGAGACCTGCTGAGCCTTTGGCGGCGAGAGCGCCGCGCTGCGCATCATGGTCCGCCACCATGCAAGTCAGCACCAAGCATATTGAGAAGCCAGGCACAAGCTCCCATGGCTCGTCCATTTTTTGTTTCGCCCAAGCCTCAATAAGACTCTGATGCACACGCCCCATGCCACCGCGTGCGTTCGCGACCTGCGCATGAGTGACGGCTGAAAGCGGGATCCACGCGTGCGGGGATTCGCTCCACTTAGCCATGCATTCCATCGACAAGTAACATAGCGTTGCCTTTTGTCTTTGGTCAATGGCCAAGACATTCCCCGCCGTGCACTCGTCATGGCTAAATACACACCGCAGTGGCTGCGCCTGCTGCTGCAGGAACGGAACTATGCTTGGACACACCGCCGCCATACGGCGTAACAGCGTTCTTACATTGGCGAACGCCCACTGGATGTCAGGTAGCGACGGCTCCTTGTTCGGTGCCGTTACTTGCTCGTAACAAGCCCGAAAGGGAGCGATTGCCTCGGCAAAGCGCCGCCGCGCCGCGCCAGAGGGTTGACCTTTGGCTTCTTTGCCTTCCAGTAGGCGGCTCATGCTCCAAATACTTTTCTCACTGAATCGCGCCATGGCGCTTGGCAACCGAGCTTTCTTGCGGGGATTTCCTTCTTCCAGGACCGGCATGGCGCAATTTTTCTCCGTTCCGGGAGCCAAAAAACTATACCGACCCAAAGAATATATTATGGGTACGTGAATATTTATATATATATATACTAGGTCCTTATATATATATATATATTATAATATATATATATATATTTATTCATTCATTCATAATACGTGCGGAAACATTCTATATAGATTGCTTGGATATTTATATTGCAAACGCATCTCCATTTCCCAAACCCAAACAAAAACATATCCCGACTGCCGCTAATGCTTCCTTTTCCCGGGACGATTTGCACGTCCTCCGCGTCACCCGCGTCTTCGTCTAGTTCGACAAAGATACATCCAAGGCGTCCAGGCAATGATACAGCCAAACCCATGGCTCATGCTCGAACACCAGGGCGTTGAGATCCATGAATCGCAAGCTCGATTTCACTTCCGCCGCCAGTGTGGAACGATTGGGATGCTCCACATGCCAGCAGTGATTTGGGCACACCAACGGTAACTTCTGCAATGGAAGTTCCTGGGCCTTCGGCGGAAAATCATAACAATTCCAGCGCAGAAGCAATCCCTTCAGAAGCAACAACGCGAGTTTCACAAACTCTAGTGCCTGCTTCATCTGCGGGTAGCGATCTGAGATGCGAACCGCCACCAGGATTTCTCTCAACAGTTCTACAGCACCATGCGCCAAGTCGGAATCCTCCGTTGGATTCTGTGAGAGCAGCGCGTACGCCGCTGTGGCACTTTCTTCCACACATACGATGCCAACCGGTTTTGCCATGACTATATACTTATGCTATTATATGTGATCACTCGAGCCCAAGAGTCAAAACTACGTGAAAAGATGTGTGAAATATTATCTGAAGCTAACACCGATGATATCCATATACATGTGTTACATTTAAGAACTCTTCATGAGTGTATTTGGGAGCATGTCTAATATATACTGCGTTATAACATTCCAAGTTTGAAACCAAGCAAGGGATTGAAGAGAAATGCAGCAGCAGCGTTTCATTTTGGCCATAAGCTTCAGAAGGTGCTATGTGCGCACATCGCGCAGTAGCAGCTATAGATATGCCGTATTGGCTTCGCCCACCGAAAGTTTACGCACACACTTTATATCGTGCGTGGAGAAACCCATTTGTAATGTACTGCTCTCTGCGACAGCCCAGTGCTTCTTTTGGCCGCGCATGGAGGCAACACTAATTTTTCTTACCTGCGCGGCCACGTCCCTGGCCTTTGACAGACACCTTCTCAGCACGAAGGATTTCATTCAGGATCCTGAGAGCTGCGTTCCCAGACTTGATCTTGCTTCCCAAGTCCTTGTCTTTTTTGAATGACACCGCATCATTCAGAGACTTTCCTTTGGCGGCCGCATCGAGAAGCTTTGTGGCTTCCGACACCACCTCCTGCAGGTCGTTGATGTTGCTATTGACCTCATCGACTGCAGCGCTAGGCAACGCGTCAAAAGCCTCACCCAAAGCATTCTTCTTTTCTTCCAGCTTGACCAGCACAGCCTTCAATCCGGCCACATGCTTCGCAGCCGCGGCAGTGGCGGACTTTCGGTCCGCTTCGGCCGCCTTCTGGGCGACACGCAGCTGCTTCTTTACTTCTTTCTCTTCTTCGCTCAGTGGCCCTTTGCGCTTCACAGCGCGCTCGACAGACACCTCTAAGTCCATTTGGGGAACGCCTGCAGCGACAGAGTTCTGACGCTGCATTGCATCGTTCTCCATCTCTGTGATGCGTTTCTCGACGTCCTTCGTGATGGTGCCATGGCTTTCTGTGTGGATGGCGAGCTTGTACGTTGGTCCAAGAACTGGGTGATGTTCCATCGGACACATTGCTTCGATGGCAGCAGTATTGTAGCCTTTCAATTCGTAGTATGAAAGGGGCTGCCACTCAGCTTCTTGCGTGTCCTTCGTCATGTGGATGATCTCTTGCACCATATGGCGCTTGAGCACGGCCCTGGTCTGCCCATAGGCAAGACGACCGTCTTCCGTGTTCTTGCGCTCAAGCGCAGCTTCACTGAAGAACTCTACCAAGCGCGTTTGGCCAAGCAATTTGTGCAACTGCAGGCCCTTGCGCGCCAGCTGTGTCTGCGTAGCGTGGCATGGCTTGCACACGTACTTCAGTTCCACTCTGTAGCCTTCTCGGCCAATCATCTCCGCCGTTTTCGCTTGCACTCTGCACTTTGCGCAAAGAGAAGTCACAGGCTCAGCGGCGGTGGCAGCGCCCTCCGGACTTTTGGACTCACTGGTCGAACCTGCGGGCGCTGCCGCGTCTGGGGCCGCTGCAGGGGTGCCTTCGCTGCCCTGCCGGCAACCTGCTCAGGCATAGCTTCCTCCGTCTCGGGTGACAAAGTCTGGTTGTCAACGCTCATTTCTTCAACCGCTATATCGGCAGCGGCGGCGGACGATCGCGGACAGCGCAGCGCGAAAGAAAAACTTGAGCTGGATAATATGAACATACATGTGTTTTTTGCTGGACATTTCTATGATTGGTACCAAACACAGACGCGTTTGTTGTACATCTAACAAACACATACGCGTTTGTCCGTTGTTTAGACGCTTTTACTGCCAAACACATACGCGTTTGTTGTTCCGAAACCAAACACATACGCGTTTGCTTGTTTACGTAAATGTAGCAAACACAACCCACACACATTCCACACACATTCCACACACATACGCGTTTGTTCCTCTACGCGTAGCAAACACATACGCGTTTGTCTCTTTGGGGCACCAAACACATACGCGTTTGTCGTTTCTAGGCACCAAACACATACGCGTTTGGATGATTTTTCTAAGAGTAACAGCAAACACATCCGCATGTGTTGTAAAAATTGAAAAAACATGTCAGAAGATTAGAAAAACCACCCGTCCCACCCAGAAGCAAGCAGTGCTCCTTTTTTCTGTGCCTGCAGCAGGGTTTCAGGTCAGCAGTCCGCCATGCCCTCCCGCATCGCGACCGCCAGGAGAGCCACCGCCATCTCCCGCCTTGCAGCGGCGTTAGAAGCTGGTGCCGTTGAGCCTTCTGGCACCCCGCTCTTCGTCTCCCCTTGGCGGCGCGCAGACTTCTCCGCTGCCTTTGCGGTCCCGGCCTCCGGGGGCTTCCTGCCAGCTGCCTGAGGGTCCTTTGTGCGCGTCTTCGCCTTCGTTGCTGGCACTGCCCCTGCAGGCGCAGCCTGGGCGGCTTCGGGTGCAGGGGAACTTTCTTCCTTTGAGCCCGACTCTCCGGAGGTGGACTCTTGCTCTTCTGCGTCCTCTTCCTCCGAGGGACTGCCGTCGCCACTGGGAGATCGGGTCTGCTGTCCTTTCTGGATAGGCGCAGATTGCTGCTTCTGAAGCTTCTTACTTGTCTGCGAGGCAGACGGAACGGCGGCTCGCTTCTTCTCAGCGGCCGCCGCCCTTTCCTGCTCTGCGCGCGCAGCCTTTTCCTGCTCAGCGCGCGCCGCCTTTTCCTTCTCCGCCTTTTCCTTTTCAGCGAGACGCCGGAAGTGCTCCCTGGTTCTTTCTTCTTCTTGTTCTTGCGACCGGGATTTCAGCGGCGGTTCTGTCTCCTGTGAGGCCCGCCTCCTTCGGCGCCTTCGCTCTGCGGGACTGCGTGACCGCGTGTCCCGCGGTTCCCTGTGTCTGCGGGACGTGTCTCCCTCCGTCGACGACCTGCGCCTGCGGCGACGCTCTGTGTGCGATCGCCTGCGGCTCCTCTCTTCCTCTTCCCGCTCCCTCCGCCTGGTGCGGCGGGACCGCGAACGGCTGTTGGACTGCAGGCGCGGAGGGGGGCCCGGAGGCTCTGGCGGTGCCCGCTGTCCTCTCAGCCACGCGTCCCAGGAGGCTCTTTCATGAGCTTCATTTTGCTGGGCCATCCATTCACACCAGGGCCAAGTTCCATACCCGAGCTTGTAATACCTGCGGGACAAGCAATAGGCAGCGGAACAATGTTGAGCCCACCCCGACGGGCAGTCAACTATCTGACGGTCACACCACTTGCACTGGATCCTATCCTGCCTCGAGGAATTTTTCCACTGGCGGTGACCACCCCTTGGCTTGGCATGGGACACTGTGGCAGCCTTTTGCGGCTGCTTTTTCTCTTCCTGACGACTCTCCGCAGCCTTATCTTCTCCCTTTGCCGCCTCCTCTTCTTTTTCCTCTGTGTCCGCTGCCTCTGCGGCAGCGGGCGCCTCTGCTGGAGAGTGCTGCCGCTCCTTGGAGCGATATCCCAGGTCTGACTGGGATGAGGACCTGCCGCGAGCCTGCGCCGCAGAGGAGGCAGATGAAGATATGCTATATATCATGGGGTTAGTATATACACGATATAAGCAAGTTTATGTATGAACATATATTGTATATATATATACAAATGTGAACAGAATTGAACTAAAACGATCTAAAACGCAGATATGAAAATAATAGAAGGGAACCTGAAGATATATATATATATATTTATTTAATTCAGAAAATATAATATAAATATATATCAAAATATATCTATATATATATTAATTCCAGAAGGCATGTCTGCCCCAGTCATGAAGCTCGTATCGCTTCGCTCTGATCTTCCACTGCGGTGCCCGTAGGCACGCTGACCTTTCGCCTGCGCCGCCCGTAGGCGAGTCTTCCACTGCTGTGCCCGTAGGCACGCTGACCTTTCGCCTGCGCCGCCCGTAGGCGAGCGCGACGTTGTTGACGCGCGCCGCCCGTAGGCGAGCGCCATGTTGTTGGGCCGCCCATAGGCGAGCGTGATGTCGCCAGCCTGCGCCGCCCGTAGGCGAGCGCGATGGTCTTGGTCTGCGCTGCCCATAGGCGAGCAAAAGGTTTATTTGGTGCGCCGCCCGTAGGCGTGCGCCAAGGTCTGAACTTGCGCGGCCCATGTGCGACCACGCAATGCAGCTGCGCCGCCCGTGGGCGAGCGTAGCTATATAGTTGCGCTGCCCGTAGGCAGCGCGCACCAGGCATGGCAGCGGGCATCACATGGATGGCGAGGCGCGCCCATAGGCAGGCATTTCTTTCACCCCTGGTACATGGCCGGCAGTCGCTGCCAGCTTTATGTGATATATATATATATATATGCCATATATATATATATATATATATTAGTCATTGTAAATATATATATATATATATATATATCTGCGTATATACTTATATGTCCCACTGAACTGTCCGGCCTCGTCATCCGCGTCCGCCGCCATCATTGCTCCGCCACTATGCTGCTTCGCAACGAAAACGGCTGCAACACGGCCACAAACATAAAATATACATATATATATATAATATATGTGCATCGATGAAATGATGCCTCTGGATCATATATAAAAATCCACACAGTTTGGCTACATTCGATATTAAATGATTATATCAATATATATATATATGTGTGTGTATGTATCTATGTATGTATGTATGTTTCTTTGTTTGTTTGTATGTATGTATGTTTGTGTTTCTGTTTGTATGTATATGTCTGTATTTTTATGTATGTATGTATGTATGTATGTATGTATGTATATGTATGTATATGTATGTATGTATGTATGTATGTATGTATGTATGTATGTATGTATGTATGTATGTATGCTTTCTTTGCCTGAATGCAAGAAGGCGTGGGCATTGATTAGAATGTATCTAAAAAAAAGGCCCGTTCAAACTCTACAGCCACATCTCTGTATACAAGTCCGCATATAAATATATGTGCATATGTAATGTACACAAATATATATATATATATTAAAGCATCTATATGAGCATATATATAAGTATATATTTACATATACATACATATATATATATATGTATAATTCGGAATTAAAAATATTTTAAGGGTCTCAACGTGATATTTATATATATATATATATGTTCCGATTAAAGTGCATGTACCAGGTTGGAAAGCAAAGATGCAAGCATATTTTTTTCAAGCGACTCTCGGCGGCCATATCATCTCTGGGCGGCATCCCACTTGAAAAGTTCAGCCGATCAATTTGAAATTGCGGCGTTCCCAGCAGCTTGGGGTGCAACCTGCGCGGTGTCGACAGCGAGAGCAACCTTTGGGATACTTCTTGGCTGCCACCTTACGGCTAATGGTCTGCAACGGACCTGCCGCTTTCTTGCTTTTTTTCGATTTTCCCCCCGACGCCTTCACGGCGGAAGCTTTCTTCTTGATCCCACCAGCTTTCTTTCTGTTGGCCTTCACGGCTAGTTCATTCTGCTTTGCGTCTTGCGTGGCTTTCGCAGTCTCCTTCCTCCCCATTTGCTTCGCTGCCGGACGCTTCGCCACGGCAGGGTGCGAATCCAACGAAGACTTGCATGCTGACGGCTTGCGCAAAACCGAAGCGGGACGCTTCAAGCCCTTCGCCTTCGAAGAATTCTCCGCACCACTGGCCGTTAACCCAGGCCTCTCCGGCAGCTCCTTCTGGTAGTGAGCGTGCGCCAACGCAGCCAAACTCTGTTCCAGCGGTCCGCCCGGAGGCGGCGCAACTCTCCCTTCTTCCTTTGCTTCCGCCTGCATCAGCGGCATTTTCTCCTCCAAGTCAGCGCCTGCAGACTTGCATGGCACCGAACTTGCTGGCCCAGCAGGTCTATCCTCCAGCGCCAGCATCCTCGGTTCCACCCTTGCGGTGCCTGACGCTGGCACTGGCATGGTTGATGCAGATGCAGAAGCATCAGAATCATCAAACCGATTCATAAGATGCTGCAACTGACTGGATCCAGCTGAATCCAGCTGAATCCGCTTTTTTGGGAGCCGCAAAAATCTGCAAACCAGGCAACCCTGCAGGAGCCGCTTGTCCAGCAGCCAATATGCAATCATATTGGCCGCGACAAGCGCTGTCTGCTGCACCATTGCTTGCTGCCCAGCAAACCCTTGGAATGCTTCCTGTCGCACCCTTTGGTTCGTGGAGCGACATACCCATGCATTGGCAGATCTCCAAACTGGATTCAAGTCAATGGGCGGCTCAACTGCAGCAATACTTTCAAAAAACTGCTGTCGAAACGTCGCAGGCAGTTCGCCCACTGACGCCGGCAACTCTACGATGTACTCGTTCCCCACCAACGGTGTTCCATGGGTCTTCGCTCGCAAAATTTTGGCCTTTAACACCGCCTTAACGGTTGACAAGAGAGCCTGAGCGCGCACGCCATCTTCTTCCAGCCGCATGGCTCCCTCCTCGGGAGATGTGTGCACTATCAAAGCGCACATGGTCGTCTGCGTCCTCTCACTGGGAGACCTCAAGCCGCAAGACACCAGATGCTGTGCAATACCTTCGATCTTGTTGTATTGCCGCTCTCCGGAGCGAAGTAGCTCCCAATGCGATCTCCGCAACAGATACAATGGAAAGCGTAGCCAGTCTTGCATAGGGATTCGTCTGGCACCTTGCTCCTGAACACCCAAAGCAGCAGCCATGCTTCGACAACTCCGTTTGATGGCCTTGAGTTGAGAATGCCTGCAAGAGTCACCAAAAGCTACCATTTTTTTCTCCAGATAACATGAAACAAAAAAACACATCATGAAAGTTAACTTGTATAACTTTTTACTATCTCTTTTATAACTTATTGCCATGAAACCCTTAACTTATGTTATAAGTTCATTTCTTAGTTACAACTCCAACATGAGTTATGAAACTTATAACGTATGTTAACCCTGCTTCTAAGTTAAGTTGTGAACGTTATAACATAGCTTATAACTTGGGGGTACCACCTAGTATGTTCAGATGGATAAAGCATCTGAACCTTCCCCAAGGTGTGGCCGCGGAAGTGTATGATTTTCATGAGAGCAAGTTGTTTGGATGCACGCCATGTGGGCAACCTAGAAAACGCACCGTCAACAAATTTGTGGCCCGGTTTCGGGCTAGATGGGCTGTGCGGAGAGGGCGCCTGCGGGCAACTGATGCTGTGGATCCCGACCTTCTTCGCCAGAAGGCGGTGCTATTATTCCGTTTGCAAGGCTTGTTTTTGTGACCCTTTTCTGGGCTTAGAAATGAGGCGTTTTTGTTTGGCGGACCCATTTTCGGGCCTGGAAAACGGGCTCTTTTTTGGACCCAGAAATTATACCAAAACTTGGCAGGTGGCATCTTTCTGGAGATCAGCTTCCTACTTGGCCAACAAATTCTCCCACCAGGGCATTGTTTGGATCAATGTGGATGAGACATGCGTTGCCTGCTCGCCGGCATGTCCAACAGGATGTGTGGTGGGTGCCCATTGCTGGAAGACTCACCCTGCCAATGCTCATATGAGGGTGAAGAAAGACACATCCAGGAAGACGTTCACTTATGTGGTCATGATCGCTAGCCGTCCTTGTATTCAAGCAGCCTTGCCCCATTTCTTGGTTTGCAGTGAAAGCCGGATGCCCAAGCTTGTTGCCAGAGCCTTCAAGGCATTGCCGCCATCCAGATTGCAACTGCTTCGTGGTAAGTCTTCGTGGGTGACGGCCGAGACCTTTGTGACAATTCTGACTGAATTGCAAAAAGCCTTGCAACCTTGGCTCCCTGCTGTGAAGCCTATCTTGCTTTTGGATTGCGCCTGCCCCCACTTGCCGAAAAAAGTGCTGTCTTTTGCACAGAAGAAAGGGCTGCAGCTTCTCTTTGTGCCATCCTGTGGCACTAGCTTGTTGCAACCCTTAGACATTTTTGCTTTTGCAGCATTCAAAATTTATCTACGGCGTAAATACCAAGAGCACAGAAGAACAGCGCTGGATGGTCACCCTGACCTGCTTGCTTGGGTTTGGCAGCTGGGCCAAGCAGGTCAAGATTTTTTTGGAAAAAGGAAATGGGCCCACGCCTTTGCAGGTGTCGGGTGCGGGGGAGATGTTTCACAGCTACATTCCTCACTGAAAAATTTCATGGGGAATCCAGTGTCCTTTCCGCTTCCTGCCAAACCGACAGACGCAGAACTTGCTCTCATTTGGCCTAAAAGGCGCAAAATGAGTTATGCTGCTGCCTATCTCTTCTGAAAACGCCCAAGGCGTGTCACAATCCGTGCCGCTTATGCAAGAAAAAAGCTGCGGCAAGTATGGCACTGTAAGGGCCCACCAACTTGAAGCATCGAATGCCTTCATTTTAAGGGCGCAGAAACCTGCCTTAACACATGGCGGACAATGTGATTCTTTCCTATGATGTTGTTGTTCTTGTTGCGAGACAGAGAGGAACAATTTGAGTCACTGTGTCGCAGCCTTTTTGGATTCAGCTTGCGGAGACTGTTGTGCACCACACAGCACATTGAGCATGTCTGATGCAGCAAGTGATGATACCGAACGGCGAAGCCATGGTGCAGATGACGCTGCTGCAGCTGGTGGGGGTAGGACGCCTGTTGCGGCAGCCCCACCGGATCCACTTCCACAATTGCGCGCTGAGAGGCAGACGCTGAAGCACCAGCTCAAAGTCGCTACGAAGCAGATAAGGAACGAGGCAGGCCCAGGGTTTGAGGAGCCACTTTCGGGAACCACTTTTAAAGCAGGGTGTGGTCTAGAGGACAGTAAGATCAGTAAGAACCACTTAGAACCCAATGAGGTTCGCAGAGGCGATTGGAGTCACAGAACTTGCTTTGGTGTTCTAAGAATTTCTTCTTATGGATCTTAGACTCTAAGAACCTTTTCTTGGTTTGCAGAAGGTCTTAGCAAAATGTTGGTACTTTGAACCTTGTACAACTAGGCCCCTCCGGACTGGGCCCCTAGAGTTACACCCTAGGGTTGCTCTAGACAATCATTCCTGTTCGAACCTGTATCTTCTTGCTTTTCGTTAGTTTGGGAGAATCAGAGTTCGTTAGTTTGAGCCACTGTGAAGGAGCGCCGTCGCAAAAATTTGATGAGGAGAGCCGGGAAGCTTTCAGCAGCTGATTTGACCTGGCTTTTGGCCCGTCGGGTTGTGCAATGAGAACTTGAAGTTTTTTGCATGTTGACAGAAACCCGCTTAAGGTGGGTGCGTGCAATGACTGACTTGGATGAGCTGTGTCGACCGACATGGCAGACCTGAAACCATTTCACACTTGCCAGCTCGTTTAATCGCTGCAGGCAACGTGTGTGCAGCTGTGGGTTGTTGTTCGAAAAACACCGCTGTCCCGCTACTGGAAGGCATAACATTGGGTGAAAGCATCATATGACAAAATTTGTGTGTGTACCATCAGAGTGTAGCGTGCTTTGTGGCACTCTGAGTATCTGTTCTTATCAGTGCGACAACTGATATGTCTCCAACTGGAGACTTGCTTGTCACATCAGTTTTGCTGGGGAAGTGTCTTTCTGAACTTGCTTGGGAGCCTTCATGTGTTGTGCTGGCGTGGCACTGCGCTCAAATCAATTTTAGACCATCATTGCTTTGAACGCTTTTTCCATGGTATGCCGAACTCTGCTCTTCAATGAATGCGGGAGCTGCAGCGGCATGCGCTTGGATTCCAGGACATGCTGGGCCAGGGGTTGGTTGAGAAAAAGCTTAGTTGCTTGGAGGTTTTAGCAGGTATCCTGCATGAATAACTTTGCAAGGTCCCCATCGCATCAAAGATCTTGATAATGCAATGTCATGAGCAACATTAAATGTAAACCTGTGTGTGTTTTCTAGGTCGCTAATTCCGGGTTGTGAAACATGTATATGGATCGTCCAGCTCGCTGCTTGAATATGAATATGAATATATATATATATATATATATATATATATATTGCTTGGATTTATACTATATTATATTTAATATATATATATATATATCTATATATATATATATACCAGTAGTACCGCACAAGGCGGTGGCGGAAGTTTCAGAATAGGAAACCTATAAGAGAGGTTGGTTGTTGTGAATCACGGATGGCAGAGCGAATCCACTGATTGACCGAAAGGTGGTTGGAGTTGTGATTGTTGGAGTGGTTGCAATGGTTGCAGTGGTCACCTCACCCACAACTGCAGGATGTAGTGTGTGGTGTAGTGCAGCTGTAGCTGTAACGTAGTGGAGTTGTAGTTGTGGTGTAGTGTAATTAGTGTAGTGCATTTGCAGTTAAATTGCAGTGTAGTGAAGTGTAGTGTAGTGTGGTGTAATGTAGTGTAATGAAGTGTCATGTACTGTAGTGTAGTGTAGCGTAGTGTAGTGTAGTGTAGTGTAGTGTGGTGTAGTGGGGTGTAATGTGGTATAATTAGTTAAGGTAGTTAAGTGAGTTAAGTTAGTTAAGTTGGTCAGTGTCCACTTTTTCGACTTCTGAACGTCAAAAAGTGGTCCGAACTCTCAGTTTTTTACACTTTCACTAGGTCGTCGAACGCTCTGGTTGCACATCCCTGACAAAGTCTTCGAGACGAAGCACCAGGTGCCGGGTGATAGGGAGTAAAACATCTTCTCTCTTCTGACTTTCTCCCTCTTTGATCTTCTCCATCTCTTATCTTCTCCTCTCTGACTCTTCCCACCTCTGCTTTTCCATCTCTCCATATTGTCGGAAGTTTGACTTCTAAACTTCCTTCGATAATGCGTAGAATACATATCGTATATAGCGTATATATGGAATATATACTTATGATATATGCAAATAATAAAGTATATTGATCTGGATATATACATTCGGGCACAAAACCAACACTGTTTTGTATACAAAGCCCCCCTAGATCCGGCAGGTTGTCTCGTGGGACAGTCCATGGCTCTCTGTCATGCTGGAGCGCCAACATCACGGACACATACTT